CTTCCTTGGGTAGTCAACCAAGTCTAGCATACCAAGTTTAGGCAGGACCATGTCCCTGCCCCCCTTCCCCACGTATCAAGGCTGAGCAAGGTATTCCTCCATAGGGAATGGGCTCCAAAAAGCCATGCCATGCCCCTGGGATAAATCCTGTGAAACACTGAACTATGACAGTGTTAAAATTCTTAAAGAACCCAGACTTTTTGAAAGCTGGACCATGATTTCAGCTGTGGCATTGATATTAACGTGAAGCTAGGCGGTAGGGAAGAAAGTAAGCATTATAGTTCAATAATGATGTATTTGTGGGTCACATTGACAAGGGGTCAGTTTTGCTGGTTAGTCTTTTCAATTCGGCGCAGTCTAGAGTCCTGTGGGAAGAAGGAACAATGAGGAAGTCTTTAAACCAAGTGTGCCTATGAGAATGTCTGTGGAGCATTTTCTTGATTAATGATTGCCGTAGAGGGCCAAGTCCAAATCCCACATCTGTGCAGTTGGTCATGATGTATGTAAGAAAGCAAGTAGAGCAAACCTTGGAGAACAAGTTAGTAGGTAGCTTTCCTCTGTGATCTCTGCTTCTGTTTCCAGAGTAAAATATATCCACGATGAAATAAGAAACAAAAAATAAAAGTGTCACTGACGCCAAATGAGTAACTCACAACTAAAACTAGGCAAATAAGACACTGCTTCTCATCAAAGGGTGACAATACATTTTGTCTGAAATTTGTGACTGTACACTGTGTTGTAGGAATGTATGATTGTATACCATGCTGTAGGAGAGATTTTTTTCCTGAGGAGACACTATACATACAAGTCTATGTTGCAAAATAGGATGCACCAAAGCCCAGCTTGTGGAACCAATAAGTTTTTCTTGGAGTTAATAACAGAAGGAGGGGTGAGGAGTTGCTTTCTGGACAGGAATGACTTAAAGGGCAGCCTCATCACTGGAAAGCCCAGCCCCACATGGTGACAGTTCACATGGGCTGCATCTCTGGAACTCACACACCTTGCATGTGGCCTGGCTGGTCTGAGTATTTCCTCTCCTGGGCTGAGCAGGTGGAACTTTCCTCCTCCAGCAGTCCTTTACTGGTCCTTCAAGAAAGCTGGGGAGGTAATTTTCCAGACATGAGAGGTCTGTTTGCTTCCTGAGTCTCCTGAGCCACCCAATCCCTTCCTGGAGGACATGTGACAATCTCGAGAAAACCGCTATACAATAACCACAGATCAGAGGTTAGAGTTATTGAAAAGTCCATGGAAAACACAATTTTGTAGGCATACATGTTAAATCTATAAGTGTGAGTAGAAACCATGGAATTACAGAGGGAAACTAAATTCCCATGCTTTACCCTAAGGAGAGAACCCAGTTGGGTGGCCATATCTGATTGTGTTGGGCTTTTAGGTTGGGTCCCTCTGGTGATGCCTCTTGGGGAAGTGTCTGTGGGAACTCTGAGATGTCTGTCTGGGGGGCTTCTGTGTGTGTGTAGCCCTCCAGGCAGTGTCAGGCCTCTGCGAGATCTCTGCCCTGTCTCTGTAGACAGAGATATGCCTCGGTGACCGTGAGTTACTTTCAGGCTGGGGCGCTGGGGCAGGTCTCTCCGACATTGTCCACACAAGAACTCTGGAGTTGGGTAAGTTCCTGCATCTTCCGGGTGGGCAATTCAGGACAGCATGTAAAATCCGTGAGGGTTTCTGGGACGTAAGAACATGACATCATAAGAATTCAATTGCTGCTCAGGCCCCAGAAGCCCCAGCAGCCCTTCCCCAACACCATGGTCCTATCTCTGGTGCAGACCATTAAGACTCCTCAAACCCACCATCCCTCCATCGCCCGTCTGCCTGCTCGTGGCGTGACTCAACTATTTTAATAAACTCCAGACCCCAGTCCATCTCACTGTCATTCTTGAGTCCGCGTCTGAGACCTCTCGTGTGGGGCTGATGAGGTCCTGTTGACATCTCCCTGCTCTCTCACCCGGGGACCGTGCGTGACTTTTGTGAAAGGTCTTTCCATGGTATCTCTCTGCGAGACCTCTAGATGTTCTGTGTGGAACTCCAAAGGATGGTATGAGGTCTCTGGGAGTCTGCATGGTCTGCCTGCAACATGAGAGGTCTGGAGGGGGCAGGGTCTGTACGGTCCTCTTTCTGAGGGTGCTTGTGTGAGGTCTGGAAGGCTGGGTGCTATCTCTGTGAAGGAGTAATGTGCGGCATCCAGAGGCCACCAAGTGGCATCTATAATCTTAGGGCTCTGAGAAGTTTCTGAGGTCTCCCTTAGTGTCTCTATCACAAAAAAAAACCTCTTTGAAATCTCTGTGTGGACGCTGAAGTTTGTGACTTTTGCATGCTGTAAGATCTATCAAGATTCAGAAGTCTCCTTGGGGGTCTTTATCGGGGCTGCAGCGTGAATCTCTGTGGGAGCATTTCTGTGTGTTTCTGAAAGCCTGTGGGTGATTTCTATGAGGGTCTGTGCGTGATTTCTATGAGGTTCTTGATAGAGGACTGTGTGTGTTGGTTTCTGTGTGCAGGCCTGTGGAGGGCTGGGTACACTTCTAGGGATCTATATGAAGATGCCAGTGTCAATCTCCCTGAATGGAACTTAATGTGTCTCTGTGGGTTTCTCCCAGGACCTGCAGAGATCTTATTAGTCACTACTGTCTCCCACACTGGTTTTCTGTGAACATCTGTGATCATCTTTGAGGGTGTGTGGGTGGGTCTGTGAAGATCACTGGAACTCTAGATTGTCAATGTGGATTTCTGTCAGGGACTTGAAAGATGTGTGGTGTCTGTGTTGGGGGAGTTTATGGAAGTGTCTGGTTGGATCTTTGGTAAAGATTTGGTGGGGGCGGAGGGTCCCTTTTCTGTGGCTTTCTGCCAAGGACTCTGTAAGCAACCTCCTTCTGTGGGGTCCTCTGTGGAGATGCGTTTTGAGCCGTGAAGGTCTCTGGGAGTCGTCTTTGGAATTATGGGGTGTTTCTCAGTGTGGATCTGTATCAGGGACTCTGTAGAGATCTCTTTGGCGGTCTATCAGTGAGAATTACACTGTGGCGGTCTCTGTGGGGTTCTCCAGGCCTACAGCATACCCATGATAGTTGACAGGGCTAACAGTGGAGCCCCATTCCTGCTGCTGCCTGGTCTGTTGGGCACCACTGTCTCTAGTACTTACACCCAGAGGACTCCTGGAACCCACTCCCAAGTCTTTGCTGGACCCAATGTGCCTCCCAGGGTCCTGGCTTCACTCTGGCTTCTGTGCCTACTGTAGAGGATGTGGTCATTGATACCGAGCCAGCTCGGAAGAGGCCTATATGGGGTTCCACATCCACTCCTAAAGAGCATCTGAGTATCTCTCCTATAGACTCTTGGGAAGTGAGCTGGACCAGGTCCCATGTCCATGACCTCTTGGTGGGACCTTCTGGAACAGTTTTCTCCCAGGGAATAAGTGACACTTCTAGAGCTGTTGACTGGCTGCCTCCTGTGAGGAACAGTGCAGGGTACCCTGAGAACTGGCTGCTCTTGGATGCAGTTACCCCCACGTGTTTCCAAAGAGGAGAGAGGCTGGGGCAAGGAACACAGGGAGACAAATGAGTTACCAGAAAGGTACCCTCTCCGGCCTGCCCAGAGATCCAAAGAGCACCTGCGCGTTGGACGAGTCCCTTCCACTGTGTGAACCAGCCCTGCAGGGATGGCCCGTTCTGCTGGTCTCACGGGAAAGCAAGGGCTGGAGGCCTAGAATGACTTGCTGTGTGGCCATGGTGTGAGCCCTCAACCCTTTTCAGGGTCGTGTGCAATGATCACTAGGCAGTGAGTGGCATTCAGAATTCCTAATTTCTGGCATTTGCACCCAACTCATCTCTGGAATTCAGAAGCTAAGAACATCCAGGTTTACTAGACATACTGTTAGGAAGCTAGCCTTTCCAATCTTGCAAGGTTTGTCTCAAGTGGCTTAAAGCGACAGGGCTCCTGCAGTCCGAGCTTGAGAGCCTGGAGTGAGGCCCAAAGGTGAGTGGCTCAGACCCCAACGTCTGCGGTCTGTACTGGAAGGGCAGACTTCACATGCATGGAAACTTATAGGGCATCCACAGGCTGCACGGCCTTCTGCCTTGGCTCTAACCTTTTCATTCTCTGTCTCCCTCCTTAGGCTCATCATGCCCACAGTAAGGTGGGTACTGTATGTAACGGTGGACCAGAAGGTATGGCAAACTGTCAGGAAGTCATGAGGCCCCCCCCATAAACCACTTTGCGGCTGCCACCCTCATGAAAAGTTGTCAGCTGCATGCTGGCCACGATTCTGGCGCTGAAGGGAGACGTACAACAGGATGACACTGCCTCATCATCCAGACTGAGCGCGGAAGGGCCTGGTGAACTCAGCTTGTTGGCAGCCTCCATTGAGGTGAGGATGGGGTCCCTAGGATCCCTAGGTCTTTTATTCCTGGGCAGGATACCCAGAGGTCAGGATTCCCTTGATTTGAACTCAAGGATGCCACACAACTGTCATTATCACTGGGCCTACCCTGTGACTTGTGAAGACGTTGGGCTGGCACTCTGGTGCTTCTACACAGCCATACGAAGCTCATGACAGAGCAAATCAGGAGAAAGATGAGGTGGGGTCTTACAGGGTTGACTTAGCACCCCCCACCCAATCCTAAAGACTTCCTGTTTGTTTGGGTCTTACAGGGCTGACTTAGCAACCCCCAAATCCTAACGACTTCCTGTTTGGGTCTTACAGGGTTGACTATGCACGCCCCCAATCCTATTGACTTCTTGTTTGTTTGGGTCTTACAGAGTTGACTTTTCCCCCCTCCCCAAATTATAGAGGCTTTTGTTTCTATAATTACAGTATAATTAACACTAACTACAGTGATGGAATTAGGAGGTGGTGAGGCCTCAAACGCTACCGTCTCCTCTTTGTGGAGCCGTATCCCCTCCAGAAGCAGTACTAGGGTGGACTAGACCGACACTTCCCAGGGATCCGGTACTGCAGACACGATCTCCAGGTAAAATGTACACAGAGGAAGTAATGTCTAAACGTTTATTTTATATTTAGAAAAGCATTTTCTTTTCCAGTAGGTAGAGCACTGTTGCAGCGGCAGTGCCTGGGACAGTGGACCAGGGTCCCGGGGGCAAGCGGTGCCTGTGCCCTGTACTGATAGTGACTGACATGGGACACAGGTTCCCTGAGCACCGGGGCCTGGTTTTTAGCATAGGGAATCCATTTGCCTGTGGAAGGTTGGCTGTGCACCTTGGGGTTGGCTTGATGCACCCAGCCAGCGTTTCCTTGGGCTGTTTTTGATTCTGTAGGAGGAATCCTGTGGTGGCAGACCTGCCTACCTGTTGGAGATCGCGGTGAGTCTTTGTGTAAAACTTTTTTTGAGGCAGCAAACCTATGGTGAATCCCCAATTTCTCCTCCAGAATCCATCTCATAGAGGTCATGAGGTCCTGTGCTTCAGCGACATGTCGGGGCATGAACACCCTGCTCACGATTGACCCTCGGCTTTGGGTGGTGTCTGATAAGGCCTTGGCTTTTTGCAGGGAATTCTGTCCTTTGCCTTTGGGAGCCAAAATTGACAATATAAAGCCTTTTATCCTATCCCCAAACTTCTTTCCGTGATTATTTGACCCATAGGCTTGGACAGGCCTCATCCTTGAAAACTGTACGTCTTGACTGGGACTTCTATATTCCTCATTTTGGTTATTTGGGCCAAAGATATGGCTAGTCCATGGTTCCTGGGGACTGGAAGTCTTGGAGAAACTCCTTTCTCTTGATGAGAAAGTGCGGCTGTCTTGGGAGGTCGATTTACTTGTAGAGGACAAAGTTTTGAAGCTGGACTGGGAGGACCTGGAAGCCAGGAGGTCTGCAGCAAGCAGAACCTCGGGGGCCCAGTCTTGAAAGACTGTTTCAGTGCTGCAGTCCTGCAGGGCAACATCAGGGGTCAGGCAGTGAGGCGTGCTCAGGCCTGAGTCTTCTGGATCCTGGGAAATGGTTCTGGAACGGGATGGACTTTCATTGGTCTCCAGCGACTCATCCTTGATTGGAGACTTTGCCATCTCCCCAGCTTCTGTGTAAAGTGCCCAGTCACAGGCCTCTTCCTCTTCCGCCTCCTCCAGATCCCTGGTATACCTGCTCCTTGGTGACTGGGATGCCACACTGATCTCCTGAGCTGGTGATACCCCTTTGTACATTTCTCCCAAAAACATACCCTCACCCTCACTCTCCTGTGACTCATATGGACCCTTGACGAGGCCTGGATTTGGCTCTGGGTTTCTTGTCCAAGATCCAAGAGTTGTGTCACTGTGCCAGTCTCTGCCCACGAGACTCTCAGGGGTGGACATAGAAGTCCTATCATCCCCCTGGACAGTTGTAGCGACCTCAGAGGGCCCAGGGTTGTCACTAGGTGGAGTCTCTCTCAGGAATTGGAGCTGGAGGGCAGAAGGAGGGATCTGTGTGGAAAGAGATTCCACAGTGGCGGTGTTTTTCATCCCTTTCTCTTCTGGGGCTGTCTGAAAAGGCTCTTCCATGAGACTGGCCATTTTACAGTTGTTTGCCGAGTCCCAGGGGGATGAAGAGACACCGGAGGGCTGCGGAAAGGGCAAAGCTGTAGCCCTGTTCACGTTGAAAACATGTACAGTCTTCAGGCCTTTGAGGGGCAGGCTCCACCTGTGCCTCACCAGGCGTCTGGTAAGATGTTTTTCCAGCACCTTCTGGGTGCCGGCGTCTAGGAAGGAAATCTCATTACAAGTTTTCTTGCACATGGTCGCATCATTCAAGGGTGATTTCCCCCAAGTTGTCCTAGTTTCCTTTGAGTTTTCAGGAGGGACCGATGCATGCTTCATCGGTATTCCTCGACAAATGCCCACAGGCACCTTACTGTCTTTGGTGTGTCTCCACTGGCTGTTTGAGGAGTTTCTCAGGGTGCCTTCTAGCTCCTTCTTTCCTGGTCCCACGGGGAGGACACTTTGAGAGTCACACCTTGGGTGTCTCGTGTGGCAAGTTTCCACCTCTGTCTCAGAGACAGCCTGGAGACCGTTGCCTAGGGAACCTTCCGGGCTCCTGTGCAGCTCTCTCTCAGCTCTTCCCAGACAGTTTGCTAGATCCTCCCATGGGTCCCTCTGTAGTTGGATCACCTCTGGATGCTTTGAGGACACACACTGTAGATGCTGGCTGCTTTCATCTGCCCGTGCTGAGAAACAGGAAGCCCCGTGATTAACTTCTGCCTGACCTATCCCTGGGAGTTTATTCTGAGACTTCATCAAGTCCAGAGGTAACTGGACCTTGCAGGGGTCATTGACTCTGGTGTTGTGTGAGCCTCTTTTTTTTAAGTGTTGTTCCAGCTGCTCTCAGGGCTGGGGCATTAAGGAACTACCCCTCCCCCAGGGGGGGGGAGTAGACAACAGACCCATAGCCCTGGGACACATAACTGGAGTGAGTAGTTTACGTGCTTCCTGGGACGTTTTCACAGTGGCCGGTAATTCGCTCCTACTTTCCCGGGACTTCTTCAAAACGCGGCGCTCTAGGTGTTGAACACCAGGTGTGACAATAAATTGCTACCTTGAAGCTATAGGGCAAGGGGCTCCATAATCCCTAGTTGGAAGTGAATTACACGGTAGCTTTGGGGAAGAGCATGGGTCACCAGCCTGAGTTTGAATTCCAGCCCACTGGTGGAGCGCGGGTCCAGGACAACTATGGAGTCAAAGGTTGGGATTAAGGGCTTTGGAGAAGAGAGCTGTGGGAGGTATGCTAGTCTGAACTTGTATAGGGAAGTAAGCAGAGAGTCCATTGTGTAAGATGGAGGGGGGGTGTCTAGTGGGGTCTCTGCTGTGTTGGCAATAGCCACAAGGGACTCACTGTGGAGAAGGGGGAGGGCCCGGAAAAGTTGGCTACATTTGGCCTGTGAATGGTCACCTGAGACCCTCTGGTAGGACAGCTGACAATGGCCTGAAAACCGCTCTCATCGGCAGTCTCTGCTCCAGAACGGGTGTGAGGTGGGCGGTGGCATGCCTGCTGCTCCAGGACTGTGGCATACTGCCCATGTAGCCCGAGGCATGGCCAGATCTTTCTTTTCCTACCCCCTTCCAAACCTTTAATTCGACCCTCTCTCTAATCTGAAGTTTCAGCGTGTCCTGGACATCAGGGGTGACGAAAGAAGTCTTCCCCCAGCCTCTATCGGCCTGGATGTAGGGCCCGTCCAGAAGGAGGCCTCTTGGAGGCTGAGAGAAAGATGCTCTTGCAAGCAAGGCATCACCACGTGATGCGTTGGGAGTAGCACCGGCTTTTGGCAGCTACCTGGTACCAGGAAGGGCCTGAGACAGGCCTGCTAGAGTGGTCAAGATCTGGGGGTGTGGCTGAGCTAGGCCTGTGCTTGAGTGTTTAAGACCCGGGGTGGCTGAGCTAGGCCCGCTTGAGGGGTCAAGGCCTGGGGTGGTTGGCATGGGAGAAGGCAAACCTGGCAGAGGTGTGATCTGTGAGGTCCCCAGTGCTTTGCGGTCACACTGGAGAGCCACGGCGCTGGGATCGGGCATGGCTGGAGGGTATGCCACAGGATCGGGAGGATGAGATGTCTGGGAAGGTGTCCACGGCGGTGAATGGCATCTTCTAGGGGTCAAGGTCTCTGGTGGCTGAGAGGCAGCCACAAGTGACTGTGGGCGTCTTCTAGGGGTCAAGGTCTCTGGTGGCTGAGAGGCAGCCACAGGTGACTGTGGGCGTCTTCTAGGGGTCAAGGTCTCTGGTGGCTGAGAGGCAGCCACAGGTGACTGTGGGCGTCTTCTAGGGGTCAAGGTCTCTGGTGGCTGAGAGGCAGCCACAGATGACTGTGACTCAGAAGAAGCTGAGACATTCGGCCAGACAGGTAACAAGGTTTTAGAATCGGGCAGCAGGTGCTCTTTGAGAGGAGCCGAGGAAGACACCAGGAACAAATTGGTGGCCACAGACTCCTCTGCTTGCTGCCTAGGTGGCAGGTGGTCTTTGTGTGCAGCTTCTGGTTCAAATCCTTCACCCGAGGCATCTTGTCTTAGGAGCTGGCAAAAGCTGATGGTATCGGCAAGCCTCCCTACAGTGCTGCGGGAGACAGGAGATACCACTGCAGCCAGGAGCCCATGAGGCCAGGAGGCTGGGCAAGCTGAGTAGGGAAGGCCACCACAACCAATGTCCCACACTCTGCTTTTTACAAGACCCTGCTATCTTAAACTCCAGGGCTGTATTCATGTCCCACCCATCCATAGGGCCCCTATTTCCCATGATAACCTTAAGCTCTGGCCGGGGTGGGGGTGATCACAGAACAGGCAAGAGGAGCAAGGGGCCAGAAAGAATAGAGTTGGCTCACCTGCGCAGAAGTGAAACCAGTACCTTGTCCACCTTGGGTTTCTTCCTGCCGCCTCTGTAAGCTGGAAATGGAGACACTGGGTTACGGTGGGAAAACGAGGGACCTGGTATCTTACCAGAGACGGAATGAAAGGTCCCTTCAGGAGAACTGAAAAGTTAAAACGGGGGCTCAGGCATCTGTGAGCAAGGCTGCAGGCCCAAACGCCTCGAGCAGCAAGGCACACGTGTGGCAGTTATGACATGGGCCAGGCGCTTCAGCTTCTAAGGACTTCCGTGGGCTTCGTAGTGTCCCCGTGGAGGGGAGGGATGGACCAGTGTTCTGAAAGAGGAAAATGTCTCAGGGAAGTTCAGCAACCCGTCTGTCTCCAAATCCAGGCAAAATGGTTCCACTTCCTCTCACACCATGACTCCCAGGCAGCACCCAGTCCCGGCTGCCCCATAGATCCATTCTGAGTCCATAACCTGGGAAGTGTCTTCAACACTCGGTTCTTTCGAAGGAGCGGCCTCCTTGAGGGTTCTGCAACTCATTTGGTGCCATCGCTGGGAGGTGGGGGGCGGGAGGGGGGTGGGAGCTGGAGATGAAGTTGCCTGGCAGGGGAAGGAAGTAGCCTACCTCTCAGGGTCCTGGTCTTCTTCCTGACCTTGCTGCATTCTCTCTTCACCACCTGACAGAGACAGACAGCACCTGCAGCCCCGTTCACTTATCCACAACGTGGGCAAACGTGGGTTCTCTTCCTCTTGGGAGACACCAATGGGGACTGTCTCTGTGAGAGCCCCCATGGATGTCACTGGTCCCTGATGTGCTCAGGAACTAGATGCTGGGCTCTCAACTACCAGCAGTCACTCCTGAGGCCAGGGGCCCCTCGTGTCCGAGATCATGGCCCCCTCATGTCCGAGATCATGGCCCCCTCATGTCAGATCCAGTGACCCTATTAGCGTGTATGTTGGAGAGGTCATGGGAACCAGTGCTTAGAACCTTTCCTTTCTCGGAGGTCCCTAACTGTCTCAGGGACACCAGCCCTGACCACAGGGACACAGGGCTTCTCCCAGTTATGCATGGTCGGAGAGCAGACAGCTTAGAGCCCACACTCCCCTCTGCCCTACCTGCCTGTTCCCAAGAGGCTGGGGTCCTGCTCTCAGCTGAGATCCCCTGTCAGTCCCCTCCCTGTTTGATTTGGAATGTGGAGCCTATGAAAGGAGAGAGGGGGAACTATTCTCTCTTGGTTTCGGGGCTAAGGCATTCTTACCTTTTGGGCGGTGATGTTTTCCCCTGGTGGGGGCGGGGGTGAGTTAAGGGGCAGGAGGGGTAATAAGAGGTAGAAGAGCCCCAGCCCACACACAAAGGCAAAGATCATGTCCGTTGCCCAAGTGGGTAAGCTGAGGGTAAGCCATGAAGTATCAACTCTTTCCAGAAGGGAGAGAAAATTCTCCATCTGAGTCACGCTGTTGCTCTCAGGCAACTGAACTCTGAGTGTTCTCTCCGGGAGAGGGCTGCTGAGCCTTGGCCTGCATCACAGAGCTCCAGTCTCCCTGTCACAAAGGGCTCCTGGGTGTGGGGGAGGGGTGGTAGGAGGAGGTGATGAAACAATCCTCCCCCACCCCATCCTCCAGCCTGCACAGGTCTCCGCCCTCCACAGCCTTTTGAGTCTTCTGTTTGCAATCCCAGATGCACACTCTGTCAGTCTTGTTCCCTTCCTGTTCTTTCGGATTAGTTAAAAAACAAAAACAAAAACAAAACAAGAAACAAAGAAACAAAAAACTAATTGTTCTTGGTCTTAGTTTAAAAAAAAGGCTAAACAAAAGAGTTAAAATTCAAAGATCTCTCTCTAAAGGGAAAAAGGGGGGATATGATATACAAATGACAGGGGAAACGGCGTAGATTATTGAATCTACTTTAATCCAAAAATCAACTATCAATCTCAGAATGTTTTATATTGGTATAGATTTTGTCTTATTGACACAAACTTAAAGTTACTTTTATATTGTATATGTTTCTACTCTTGTTTGGCGTATCTTGCTTATGCAGCACATTTGAAAATGTATAATTATGAAATACAGGTTAGTAGTTTATTATCTATAACAAACTTCTAGTCCTATTTGGTGTGTTTTCAGGTTAAACAGATGTATTTAGGTATATAGATGGTCTCTAAACACTTCAAAGACCTACAGGATGTGCTATCTAAAATGTTTTAAATACATTAAGACTTTTCTTGACAGTGAGACACGTCTGTTCCTGGCAGCACCAATTTACTTCAGAGAAGATAATGGGCATCAAAGAATCTCCATATGGAGTTTGCTCTCTTTATGACAAAAGCTAGCCATGTGGGCAAAAAAAAAAACAAAAAAAACCAAAAACCACCCCCCACCAAACCAAACCAAACAAACAAAAAACCTGCTCTTGCCTCAAATGCTGACAGTATACTCTCCAAACTGGGCCAGCAGGATACAAAAAAAAGGTGACTGTCAAACTTTGCCAAGACAATGTAGGATAGCTCTTCAAAATTTCCTGCTTCTCAGAAATGTCTGTTAGATACAATAGGCCTATAGGCCAAAGTTGGATGACCCAGCATTACAGAAAACTCTAGGGTGTCTGTCCAGGCAGCCAAATGTCTCTGTTGTTAGATAACATTTTAGCTTTCTGGGGTCTTTGATGGAGTTAAAGATTAAGTAATTAGACTTTCCTTAGTTATGATAAGAGGTAAATTAGAAAACTTTAGACTCATAAAGATAAATAATAGAGTATTTTTCTCTAATTTTGCCAAATATAAATGGAATGAACATTGTAACTAATTCTTATTTGATAACTTTTTATTGTATATAACTTTACTGTGTTAAACTTAAAGCCTTTTTTAATTAAACAAAAAGAGAGAAATGCTGTGGAACAGTCTTTGTACACTGTAAATATGTATTGCTCTCCTTGTTAATAAAAAGCTGACTGGCTGATGGTTAAGCAGGATTTTCGGGGCAGAGAGATTACTGGGAAGAAGGAGGGTGGAGTCAGAGGAGTCTCAAGCAGATTCAGGGGAAGCAGGATGTGTAGGAAATGAGGGAACAAGCCATTGGCCATATGGCAGAACTTATATAAGAAATATGGATTACTTTAAAACGTAGCAGTTAGCTAGCAACCAGCCTGATCCAACAACAAAGCATTGATGATTAATAACACGTCTCTGAAGGGTTGTTTGGGAGTGGCCGCCAAGACACAGAGAAACTCTGCCTACAAAGCTCTTTTCCCTTGTTGAGATGATTGACTTCCAGGGCTATGGGGCAGAGGCTGCATTCATGGTAGGAGGTGCTTTAACTCTCCCACACGTCTTATTTAACCTCTGCTCAATATGAGTTCTGACCATGTTGATTATAACACACGTTTCCAGATCATTATTACATTCTTATATTGGAGACCTTTTGTTTACTTCAGATGCAAATTTTTCTTTAGGCACAAGAAATGGAAGGTGATTAACCTTAAAAGGCAGCTTGTGGGTGTTTGGATTCAGGCTGGGGGGGTTGCGGAGTGGGAGGATGGGGGGGGGGGGTGGGAAGGTGTCTCACTTCTTACAGTTACAGATGCTCAGCCTTGTGTAGATTGCCTCCTAGTGGTCTTCAGGGTGAGCATACAGAGGTACCAAGTTCCCAGAAAACCAACAATTATCTAACTCGCATTGACCTTGTTTCTAACAATGAAAATTGGTGCTCTCAGATCTGTGCTGAAGACTTTGCTTTGTAATTTGTCCATGCTTCTCCTTTATGAAACACCATTTTCTCCAAAGGCAGAAAAAAATAAAAAATAAGTCCAATGATGGGGCATAAAATAGGTTAATACTTAACATTTTTTATAAAAGAAAGAAGCAAATTTAGTAAACTACTATAAATGTAATCAAGCCAGTATTCAGTGCTTTCTTTTGAACCTTAAATCATGTCTTAAGGGGATCTGTCGTTAGAAATATACATAAATATTACAATTTAAACCATTTAAAATTTACATTTTATCCACGTGGGGGAGGAATATGTCTGTGTCACAGCCCACAAGTGGAGACCAGAGGACAACTTGGGAAGTCTTTTCTGCCCTGAGACTACGTGAGTCCCAGAGATTGAAGTCGGGTCATCTCACCTGTGCCTGTTTTAACCATTTGAAGCATACAATTTCAGTGGCAGCAGGCACATTCACAACATTACCGACACCAACAGGAGTCCCGCCTCCTTGACTTACCCCCACACTCCCTGCAAGCTCTGTTGCATTTCCTGACTTCCTGGAGTTGTCTATTCTAAAGCAGGTGCAGTCTCATGGGACCAAACCCTTGGCCATACCATGGGCTGAGAGATGCTCTGCAGTGTGTAGTGAGTTGAGGAACCTTCAGTAGGTATCCACCAAGGGACAGGGTGTCGGTGGCAGTGACATCTCACATTTATGGTATGGAAGGGTTTTGTACTGAGTGATGAGCATGAGGGGTTGGGGAAAAGGGCATTACAAGGTGTGAAGTTCCTGGATTGTTTGGTAACCACGTTTAAGGAGCTGCCAGACTTTGGTGCACAGCAGAGGCACCATTTCCATTCCCACCAGCAAGGGAAGGGTTCCCTTTTCTCTGCTTTCTCACCAATGTTTGTTATTGTCTGCCCTTTACATAATTGTTCTCCTAGTGGATATGACCTCGTTGTGGCAAGCTTATTTTATTCTTGTTTCTAAAGCAAGCATACCATACATGTATAAAAGCATTTAAGCTTTGCTTTTATTTTATGAGTATAAATGTTAGCCTGCATATATGTATGTGCACCATGTGGGTGCAGTGCATACTGAGACCAGAAGAGGACATCAGACCCCCCTGAAGGAGCAACAGGTGCTTGTGAGGTGCTTGATTTGGGTGCTGAGAATTGAAACTGGGTCCTCTGCAAGACCAACACTGTTTTTTTGGGAGGGGGCAGGGTGGAAAGGGGTTTTGAGACAGGGTTTCTCTGTGTAGCCGTGGCTATTCTGGAACGAACTCTCTGTAGACTGGGCCTGCCTCTGCCTCCCGAGTGCTGGGATTAAAGGCATGCACCACTACTCTCAGCGGCAGCATTTGCTTCTAACTATTGAGCCAACACGCCATCTCCATTAAGCTCTCTCTATGCACCACTGGCACCTCCCCCGCCCCTAAATGTTGTCTTTAGTGAATGAAATCTCTTAATCTAAACTTATTTTTTTAAAAACTGAGGTGAATAGCACTAACACTCTCCTGACACCAAATCATTTTTTTCTTTCAGAAGTCTCGCCTTTCAACTATGATCCCAAGAATTGCTTTTGTATTGAGATTGGATTTTCTACTCACTTTTAACGAAGACAAAACATCCTTAAGGACACTCAGCTTTCCTATAAAGAAATGCACCGCTCTGTACAATCTCACTCTCAAAACAAGCTCCAGCTGCAAGGTGCTGGGGATGGGACATCCTGGCAGAGAAGACCAGAGAGCCAAGGGCTGAGCAAGCAGAACCGGGAGGGCTCAGCTGCGGTAGGTGGATGTGGCCGCCCGGCCGGATCCGTCCTCGGGACATTCATTCTGCCTTCTGTGTACATCTGGTGTACAATGGTGGGGGAAACTGGTGAGCATATCAGACCGTGAAAACTTAGTGGGCGGCTGAGAGCTGGGAGTTATTGCATACCCATAAAGGGCACTGTGGGCTTGTCATTAAGACTGGCGCATAAGGAGAGCCATAGGGAGACAGTGTGGCTTGTTCTGAAGAGCACAAAGCCCATTTTGTCTTTCTGTGAGCACAACCCCGGTCTGCTCCCATGAGTACGGGAACACCGTCATCCTAAACCCTGAACTTGGCCCCGGGGACCACAGACCACGAGAGTACCCTGACGGTCTCGGGGACCGCAGAGTCTGCGGAGTTCACTTGCATTTGGGTGTGGGTGGATTTTGTAACTGTGTTAAGAAAGGGCCTAAACTGGCCCTGGCCCTCAGTCCTTCTTCCTGTTTTTGTAAGCATTCTGCTTGATGCCAGTGGATCCCATCACAGCACTGTGCTCTTCATACTCAGGCAGGCACAGCTTCTGAGCTGGGGGCTAGCCTGGGCTCTCCTGTCTTATTCAGGAAGATGGCCCCTACCCTCTCCTGGTCTGTAGCTCTGCTGAAAAGAAAGCAGACCGCTGTTCAGAGTCCTTTGAAAGCGTGTAGGCTGTGGTCTGTGATTTGTTCTGCGGCGGGGTTTCTTGGGTTCAGGGCAGCAGCCTTCATGCTATAGTTCTCCGCTAGCACGGGGAGATGCTAGGCCACACATCCAGCAGTCTCAGGGGTGTCGGTCTGGCACAGAAAGTTCTGGAAGCTTCATTTGGGCCAGAATCAGCACTGCAGGGCTGTTGTTTCCCTGAAGGCTTTTAGAGAGTCCCCTGTGTCATTCTTTCGTGCCCTCATTCTGCTTTTAAAAAAATTAAAAGAAGAAACTTGTAGGCAGGAGGGCAACAGATTGGTCT